TTTTTTTTTTTTTTTTTTTTTTTTTTTTTTTGGAGTATTTTTAGTAAGAATGGTACCAGCCCTTTTTTATGTATATGGTAGAATTCACCTGTGTTTTCTTCTGGTCCTGGGCTTTTTTTGGTTGGTATGCTTTTTATTACTAATTCCATTTCAGAACTTGTTATTGGTCTGTTCAGGAATTCAATCTCTTCCTGGTTAAATCTTGAGAGGTTGTATGTCTCCAGGAATTTATTTCTTCCAAGTTTTCTGCATTGTGTGCATAGAGATATTCATAGTAGTCTCCGAGGTTTTTATTTATTTATTTTTTTTGGTCTATTTCTGAGGGGTCATTGGTAATGTCCCCTTTGTCATTCTGATTATATTTCTCTCTTTTTTTTCTTTATTAGTCTAGCTAGCAGTCTAATTAATTCTTTCAAAGAACAAGCTCCTTGATTAATTGATATTTTGTATGGCTTTTCTTCTCATTTTCCTTCAGTTTAGCTCTGATTTTGGTTATTTATTTTGTCTTCTTCTAGTTTTGGGGTTGGTTTGCTCTTTTCTCTCTCTAACTTCTTCTTCTTTTTTTTTTTCAATTGATCATTATGTGCTGGTGTAGGATTGTGACATACCTCCTCATTTCACTGTAAGCCATTGACTCCAAGCTAAATTAATGTACTATTTCTAACAAGAGGATACCATTGACAACCTAAAATAATGTGGTTACTGTGGCATACAAAATTATAACCTATTCTATAGTATGTTTGTGATAATCATTTATAATGGTAAAACTGTAAAACAAAAGCTGTATTGATAATTGTAGACAAAAATGTCAACTATATAGATATTTTGCTTATGCTTCCTAGTCTACTTTGGCAGTTTGTATCTGGGTGTAAAATCATTCTAAGAAACAGGTAAGACATTTGTGAAGCTGGGAAAATACATTATAAAGAAGGTATTAAAGGTTTTTCTTCTCCTTTGTGTGTGTAGTTTTTTTTGATTGTTCAAATAATACACGAATGCATGCTCATTTGTACAAGAATTCAAACCGTATCTAAATATGTAGAGTTAAAAGTGAAAATATCCATTCAGTCGCCTCCTGCCACTCTCCCTCCAAAGGAAGCTACTATTAACTGTTTGATTTGTATCCTTTTCTACCAACGTGGTTACAGATATTAAGGTAACTAAAAGAGAGAAAAAGTCAGTTTAACAAAGAAGTTAAGCATGCTTACTTTGAAGCTGGGCAGCCTGATTATTTGAAACCCAGACTCTGTTACTCAAAGTCATGTGATATTGGTCATGTGATCTAACTTCTCTGTGCCTGGATTTCCTCATAGGTAAAATGGGGATACTAAGTGCTTCATAGATATGTTATGGGGATGTCTTTAGTATGTGTTAAGTATTTAGAATAGTGCCTGACATATAGTGTACACAATTCATCATGGAATCATGATGCATATATTGTTTCACAACTTGTATCCTATACACATAGGGGAAATGTATTGCAGCCATTAAGAGCATGGATTCTGGTTCTGAATCCAATTATCAGGTACAAATCCTAGTTCTATCATTTACTAGCTTTATCACTGTCAGGAAGTATATAACCTTTTTTTGTCCTTGTTTCCTCTATAAAATGGGGGTAATAGCTTTAACTCTAAATTAAGTAATATTTGTAGGACATTTAGAATGACTGTCATGTACTAATTACTCAGTAGATGCTTATTATTATTATATCATTAAAAACACTCAGTTTATCATTTTATGCTATAAATATATCATAATTAATTTAACAATTTTTAATTGATGGTCATTTAGATTACTTCTAATTACTTATTGTTACAAAATATTCTGGTGTCCATACTTTAACTAAAAATGGAACTACCATTTTACACAGTAGCCCCATTGCTGGGTATCTAGCAGAAGGAAAAGAAATTGTTATAGAATTCTTATGATTGCATTATGCATTAATAAGATTTGTACATTGGCAATCACACATTCCCTTCCAATTTTTTCTTGGGTCTTTGATCAGCTCTTGTAGAATGAGTCACCTGAATGCCCTAATAGCTTGTTCTTTTTGATCACACAATACTTAGTTTATTTTCACCTTCTTCAAATGTATATGATCTAATTATAAGTACCCCTGATTGGTCTTCTGTTTTTCTCTTTATCATTCCCTTCCACACCATCCTCTACCATAAATGTTCCAATCAGTTTTTTGTCATTCAAACATTTGATTCTGAAGAGACAATGAGTAAGAGTTTGGGAAAAACTAAGTCGGTAGCTTTAGATGCTGAAAAACCATTGTATGTTTATTGTTGTTAAATTTTGACATTTTAATAGAAGTGTTACTAAAATTATGAAATATTAATGTTAAAATTTACAAAAGTGAATTAAATATCATGGGACAGCATTACTAGTGTGAATGGCTTTCTTAGGTACAGTATATGTATTAATACTTTGTGAAACAGATATATTCGTAAAGTGTTGAAATTACATAGTATCATATAAAAAGCCACAGAATTTAGTATATATCAAATTTAGAACTGCATTTAATTACACTCTCATATTTAAAATTTCCTCCTCTTTATCTGTATCATCAAAATATTATCTAAAGATTCTCACTTATGGTTAAAATGGTTTAAAAATATAATGCAATTAAGTAAGGAAAGATGATGACTTCCGTGTTACGTTTTATCCTGACCTCATACCTACTTGACTTCAGTTCTTGAATGAAATATGCACATGATGTTGTGATTTAGCATAGTTTGGCTTTAAGTAGTCATTCTTCATTCTGTTTTTCACCATGGGCATCATTTATATGACCATAATGTTCCCTTTCAAAACATTTTTTGAAATGTATGAAATAATACATTTCTTTTTGTCTCACATTTGCAGAAGTTAAAAGTATTAGTTTTGTCCTTCTATGAATATGTGAAATGTAAATAATTCAGTAGTTAGGGAGAATCATCATGTATTTTGGTAGGAAAAAAGTCAAGGAGGTTATGAAGGATGCTTAATACAATGTTGCCCCCTGCTTATGTAGGTCAGTTTAACATACATCCATCTTTGGATTTTAGGTAACTATTGTGGTCCCAAAGTAGATTTGACAAAGTCTCAAGTAATTTTCTGTCAGGAGTGCCCTTGAAACACCAACACCTATTATGGAGATACCGTCTGTACTGTACTCGGAATTTTCAGGCTCATTTTGCCTCATAGGTTAGTCCTCAAAAGAGTCTCCCTGAGGTTATTAAGACTGGAACTAACACTAAGATGGTCCATCCAAGGCTGTAAGCAGACTTTCTGGGTCTTACTGAAACTTGTTTATGGAAATGGAGGGAAAAATTTAAATAATTCCTGCTTTGAAGATAGGAGTATAGAATACCACAAATTTATTTTCTTGTTAAGAAAATAAAGGAATGTTTTCTTAAAAAATATTTTACTTTGAAAAGGTAAATGGCTAACTTAGCATTATTACATAATGTATGTGTAGATGAAGGTTGGAGGGGTGGCTTGGTGAGAATTAGTGTGTAGGATAAACTGGGATACTTGTGTAGTTAAAAGAATGATTTTTTTTTCAGTCAATGCAGAAATATATCAATAAATTAATATCAACAGATATCTATCACATAAAATTAAATGTGGTTTAATGTTTTTATAACTAGTCATTTGCATGAAAAATTAGCCAATCAACTACATATGTGTGAAAATCCATGAAAAATGAAATAATAATTTGAAAGCAAAATAGTTATCACAGTGTTAAAATTAAGCCAGGTGTCCTTTTATTACCTGGGGCAATTTAGAGCTTTTGGTCCCCAATCATGTTATGTTCTTTTCCTCAAGGTCTAGTAAATTTGTAAAAATGGCCTTATTATTACATATTGGTTCAGTATTTGTTAGGATATAAATACACAGGGTCACTTGGAGTTTTATGGAATAGCCTCTAAATAATTATATTTAAGATCATATCTGTAAAGTGATGTGAACCAAATTAAGGCCTATTGACTGCAACTTAAAAAATACTGAATCATCGTTATGGGAAGCTGTCTGAATTGTTCTGCTATTTCTATTTAAAGCTAAGAAACTTGTAGCTTATAGAATTTCTCTATAGTTTTGGTTTTTATTTCCCCAAATGAGTGGAGGCAGTTTATTATGAAAAAAATAAATTGTCAAAGACCTTAGTTTTATCTGAAAGTGACCAAAGTCTTTTCCTGAATATAGTATTTAATGTTTTTTTTTTTTTTTTTTTTACTTTGAGGTGAAGTCTCACTTTGTCGCCCAGTCTGGAATTGAGTGGTGAGATCTTGGCTCACTGCAACCTCCACCTACTGGGTTCAAGCAGTTCTTGTGCCTCAGCCTCCTAAGTAACTGGGAATACAGGCACCCGCCACCAACCACGGCTGGCTAATCTATCTTTCTCTCTCTCTCTTTCTTTCTTTCTTTCTTTCTTTTTTTCTTTCTTTCTTTCTCTCTTTCTTTCTTTCTTTCTTTCTTTTTCTTTCTTTCTTTCTCTCTTCCTTCCTTCTTCTTTCTTTCTTTTCTTCGTTTCTTCCCCTTCCTTTCTTCTTTGCTTCCTTCTCTCCCTCCCTCCTTATTTTAACTCTTTCTTTCTTTCCTTCCTTTCTTTCCTTCCTTTCTTTCTTTCTTTCTTCTTTCTTTCTTTCTCTCTCTCTTTCTTCTTCCCTTCCTCCTTCCCTCCCTCCCTCCCTCCCTCCCTCCCTTCCTTCCTTCCCTTTCTTTCTTTTCATCCTTTCTTCCCTTTCCTTCCTTCCTTTCTTTCTTCCTTCCTTCCTTCTCTCCCTCCCTCCTTCCTTTAACTCGCTCTCTCTGTGTGTCTTTCCTTCTCTCTTTCTTTCTTTTTGGAGAGAAGAGGTTTCACCATGTTGGCCAGGCTGGTCTCAAACTCCTGACCTCAAGTGATCTGACCACCTCGGCCTCCCAAAGTGCTGGGATTACAAGCATGAGCCACCATGGCCGGCCTATGTATCCTAATAATTGTAAACTTGACCCATTTGTGCGAAATAGATTTTGAATAGAATTGAACAAGTTTAGCAAATCAGGATCCCAGGGACTTGTGTGGTTCTACCTCTTTCATTTAAGGGTTCAGCTTTACTTTAGGGAAGCCATGTAATTGTATAACATCCTTGTAGTCTTCTGCTTAAGAGAAGCTTAGGCATTGACATTATAAGGGTGCTAATGATATGAGACCAGCTTGTGTCTGTAGCAGATCTCCAAGGCCAGTTGAAAATCAAAAACGAGTTCTCAAAGCTTTCTGTCTTTCGTGTAGAAATGTCTTCAGAACACTCCATGTATTAAGAAAAATTGATTGGCTCTTCATTTATTAAACAAATATTTACTGAGCACTGTGATAGGTAATAGGAATAAATGGTGAACAAAAATGATGCAATTCCAGTTTTTCACTGAGCTTATAGTCTAGATGATGTAAAAGCAGAGAGCAATAGTAAATCATCACAATCCAACTTTAGGGATATGAGAAGTGTAAGCATGCAGCTCTAGATCATTCCACACTTGTAGCTCTGCTTGGTCTGTTCATAATCTAGTCTGAATCTTGTATCCAGGTCTGCTATTTTGTTGATATACGCCAATGTGGCTCTAGTAGCCATTAAACATGTTGAACTCTTTCCATGTCAGCTGATATGAAGCTGCTGTCCCAACCGTCCAAGTCTCCCCATCATGAGAATCTTGGCAACTCTGGCTCCTCCCTCTGGACCTTTGTATCTTTTCATGATCCAGCATCTACACAGACAAACACAGAGCCTCTAGTACTCAGCTCCAATACTACCTGTGGCACTTCCTGTCCCTATGACTTGTTAAATATTTTGAGTCTCATTTCTGCTTGTATAAACGTCGGTACAGTATTGAAATTCTCATTTCAAAAACTTGCTCAGTAACGCTAGTATCCCTAGGCTTGGGACCTACTTTTTTATACAATTTCTAAGTAAATAAAGACCTATTCTGAAACCTCAAACTTTGACTGGACCTTTCTCACTTTTACTTACCTTTCTTTATTCTATTTGCTTTGTTTTGAATCTTTATTGCTGTGTGTTTCTTTAACTTCCCTTGCTTCTTGATATACTGTACGACTGCAGGTTGATATGGAATTATTTATTGCCTGACACCTGTTGACCAAATTGAGATACTAAATGATCTGAGAAGACTACATTTTGGATGTTGGATATTGATTATCTGGAGCATTCTACTTTATATTTTTCCTGCTTTATATGCCATTTAAAACTTAAAAACTAGTGATAGTGCATTGTGTTTCATAATAAAAGATATTTCTGTTCATAACAGTGAGGATTTTTACTTTAAGGCTTAACTATAAAAAAGGGTCCATACCCTGAGAAGACCTGTCTATGTGAAGTTTTCTAAATGAGCTTTGCCCTCGAACTGAAAATTTCATTACCTGTTAAATGCCTGTCTATTTAACAGGGAGCATGCTGCTATTAGTCATTGTCATTCAGTGATAATAATAGTTACTATTTGGAGTATTTATTATGTGGTAGGCACTCTGCTAAAAGCTTTATTCACATGATCTTAATTATTTCAATAATTATGTTATTTCAACAATTATAGTATATATACTGAGAAAAGTGAAAAATTTGTCCAAGACTTTACACCTCATTAGAGTCAGTATTCAAAGTTATTTTGACATCAGAACCTCTGCTGTTAACAATGGCTGCCAGATCTCTCAAACAAGAATACAGGATATTCAGTTAAATTTGAACTTCAGATAATCAACAAATTCCATTTTAGTATAACGTATATCCTCCTGCAATATTTGGGACACACCGATACTAAAACATTATTTCATTATTAATCTGAAGTTCAAATTTAGCTGGGCATCCTGGCAACCTTACCTTGAAAACTACCCTATACTTTTCCCAAAGTTATTAAAAACAAAAACAAAACCAAAACAGAGAGAACGTGGAAGTTAGAAAGAGAGTAGTAGAGCAGAACCTGAAGGCAGTTGGTGGAGAATTGAGGGACCAAATGAAGGAGAAAAAGGTCAATAAGTCTGTATGCTATAAATACGAGATACCATTTTATAGAGGCATTACCTTCAAGGAGAGTTGGGGAGAAAGATTTGTCTCCTAGGGGCTCTATAGCCTACCAGAGATTTTTGCCCCCTGTGGTAGGTGTGTAGAGACATCCCTGTTTCAATCCTGTTGCACAAGTGAACCATATAATGAAACAGGTGGAAAGAGAACTGGAAAGAGCAAAGGATGCGTAACGAGATTTACGTTTTAGTAATGTTCCAACTCAGCCACTCACTAACTGCCTGACAAGACACATTGTTTCTCCCAATCTCAATACCTTCATCTGGAAAAGAAGGATAGCGTCACTTGCCCCAACTATATCACAGGACTTTTATGAGAATTAAAGGGAGGTGAGAAGACTTGGTAAGTGGTAAAACATTCTACTAATATAAATACTTTAACAATTATCAGCACAATTCTAACAAATTAATTAACCATCATGTTTAAGATTAGGGTGGGGGAAATATTTGTATTTTCCCAATCTAAAAAACAGTTTGAATAAATCCCTTCTGATTACTTAATAGGACCATCTGAAGGTAAAATAAGAGAAGAGAGCACACATGCTGCTACTGTTTACTGCTGGGAGCGACAGACTTTTGGGTTCTAAGGGATATATGAAGAGAAATATTTCTCTGGTTTTTTTCCAAATATTTGAGAAACTTTATAGCATTTTGATTCAAAATAATATTTCTGAAAATAAATAAATATTTCTGATAAAGCATGACATTTAAGCTAGATGATTTCTAATGAGAAACCATATTGAAAACACTGGGTGAGAGAAACATAAACTTGTTTAATTCACGGTACTTTCTATTATAATAAAGTGTAGACAGCCTGGTGAGAACCTTTGTAGAAGAGTGGTAGGTTTCAGCAGCAAAGGCTATAGCTATAGTAGTTTATTTTTCTAAGTGAATGTAATATTGGCAAAGATTAGGCTATCAACTAAAGGAGAGCGCTGACTCCATACTATCAAGGAAGCATGACAGCAGGACTATATAATTAGTAAAAATTGATTTCTAGCTTCCCCACTCCAGATTCTTTTCCTAAAAAATGTAATAATAATAATAATAAAATCATAAATAACAGAGACTTTATCATTGCAATAGATAATTCGCTACTTACAAGGTTGTTGTGAGGACAAAATGGGTAGTGTAAGTCAAGAGTCTCCTTTTTTTTTTTTTCTCTCTTTTTGAGACAGAGTTTTGCTTTCATTCTTGTCATCCAGGCTGGAGTGCAAAAGCGCGATATCGGCTCACTGCAACCTCCGCCTCCCGGGTTCAATTGATTCTCTTGCCTCAGCCTCCTGAGTAGCTGCAATTACAGGCACCCGCCACCATGCCAGGGCTCATTTTTGTATTTTTAGTAGAGACAAGGTTTCACCATGTTGGGCAGGCTGGTCTTGAACTCCTGACATCAAGTGATCCACCGGCCTCGGCCTCCCAAAGAGCTGGGATTACAGTTATGAGCCGCCGTACCTGACAACTCAAGGGTCTCATGTGATATTTGGTACCCCTTAAAGACTCAATAAATTGTCAGTGTCGTTATTTTTATAATAGTTATCATTATTCCCATGTTATATATGAAAAGACTGAGACGTGTTCCATCCTGTGACTTGAGGTACTCAATAATTTGGTTTTCCCATAATCTAAAGCTCACACCCAGATAAAAGTCACTTCTAATTCAGTATGACTATGTCAGTGTTCCTTCTCCCAGAAGGGTCTGCCTTATAAGCCTAAATTCTCCATGTGTAATAACAGGTACTGTTCTCTGAAAAGGGCAATCAGGCTTCAGCCAGCAACGGTATGGGGTGAGAATTTGAGTCTCCCATGCTAGTTTCTCAGAATTCCACTACCTTTGTAACCCTGAATCTGCTTAGGTCTTAAGTCAGTCCTGTGGGGATAACAGTGTTAGTTCTATTCATTAGGCACCTTATGACTTGAGGCTCAGGAGGATGGGGGTAGAGGGTTTGACAGCAATAGCGAAAGCTCTAATAGTGGAAGAATAAAGGAGTTATTTATCATGAAGCTCTTTGGAAGATCTTTGTTTTCTAATCATAGATATTATCGAGTTGTAGGATATCACAGATATAAAGTCCCATATTCTAGAATAAATTTACTCTTAAAAATCCAGGAAACTAAATCTCTCTTCTCTGTCTCTCTCACTCACACACACAAACATGTAGTAGCCCACTACATAAAACAGGCAATGGAAGATGAAGAGTTGCTCTGATTGAAAGAGGGAGAATAAAGATTCCACCCCGTCTTATCATATTTAGGCAGCTGTTGAGGGGAATCCTTAAATAACAGTTTGAATATTATTGGTCTAAAACAACACTCTCATAGATGGAAAAAAAAGTGATCCCCAAGGAGAGGGAAATAAATTGCCCAAGGAGTTAGTGAGTGACCGAACTGGCATTGGTACCTAGGTCTTCAGATAACCAGTCTAGGTTCCTTTTTGCTTTTTAAATGGAAGTACCAGACATTTATATGCTAGCAATGTGATAATTTCATAGACGTACGCTGCTTCTCTATCATTTTGAGAACAGAATATTACCATCATCATCATTACCATCATCGCCAGCAGCTGTAGGAATGGTTTATCCTGTGGCATGCATGCCAAAAATGTTTTGCAGGCTTCTGTATAGTGGCAAAACTTGCTTGCAAATGGTGCCATAAACTGCTGCTCCTCCTCCAACCACCAGAGGGACCAGTTGTCACACAGTCACTGGCAGCCACTCACCATTTCCCATTTCCCATCCCCAGATCCATTAAGAATAAAAGTTGAGGTATTTTATATGATGTGATTATTGTATATTGCATGCCTATATCAAAGCATCTCATGTACCCCATAAATATATACACCTACTAAGTATCCAAAAAATTAAAATTAAAAAATAAAAGAATAAATGTTGTTACACTATGCATTTTGCAAATTTATTCTATTTGGGTAGGGGAGAATTTTTTTTAAAGAGAAATAACATTGGATGTGATGATTTTCCCATTGTTTTAATTTTACTGACTGAGCAGTGATGATGAAATAATCAAAATGAGCAATAGAGAGTTCATGCAATGAATGGGGAGAATACTAAAATGCAGTGACTATAGAATCTCCCTAAGAGGGAAGAAAAGCTATTAAAAATGAATCTGATTGCCATTTTTGTTTGAATAAACAGTTAAACATTTTCTCTCTTCTCTCCTGCCACTTCAGACCATTAAAACTGCTCTTATATGTGTGTGTGTGTGTGTGTGTGTGTGTGTGTGTGTGTGTATATACACACACACACACATATATATGACATCCATTCCAGCAATGTTAACATCCAAACAAAGAATAAGAAAATAAATCTCATTGCCTGTTACATTTAGGAATCTGGATGTTCCAGACTGTAAGAACTGATAGCTGACTGATGTAGAGCCCTGGCTGAACTAGCCAGTGTGAAATGCCCTAGACAAAAAAAAAAAAAAAAAAAAAAAAAAAAAAATCTCAGGAAGGGCTAGAAAGTTTTATATGGTCTACAGAAAAATAACATGTTTATAGAGGGATATATTTCTTGCAGCTCATTTCTCAACATGGGATCTACTTCAGAAACACATAACAAACTTCTCTGAGATGAATTTTATTGGCCTCATTCCTGATCTATTAAACTTGACTTTGAGGTTTCAACTTGGAAAAGTTATCTGGGTTCTAATACGGACATTTCATGAAGAGTTTCTGACCTAGATCAACTCCTTCACTGTAAAGAGAAGGAAATATAGAGTCAGAAAGAGTAAATGACTTGCTGAAGGTAACTTTTTTTTCCTTTTCGCCTGTATTCATGAACAATGAATGTTGGAGCATGAGGGAAGTAAGTGGTACAGAAGGGTTTCCTTATTCCAGAGAGTTGTATAATCTAAATCTAAATGGGAAGATAAGATTAGAAAACATTAAACAAGTAGAAAATAATACAAGACAATTAAATATTTTTCTTTCTTCCTGAAGAGGTTGAGGGCCTAGGTAAGAAATTGGGAGACCCAATATTGAAGGACATAGATGGATACTAGGTCATCCACCCTTGCTTTGCAGAATCTCTCATACAGCATTTCATGGGAAAGAACAAACTCTGTTGAAGTGCAATGTGACTTGAAAATGCAGGTATGATTTTTATGCTTTTTTAAAAAATGTATTTTAGGTGCAGGAGTACATGTACAGGTTTCTAATGTTTGTAAACTGTGTGTCATGGGAATTTGGTGTACAGATAATTTTATAACTTGGTTAGTAAATGTAATAACCAATAGGTTTTTTTTCTGATCCTCTCTCTCTTCCCACCCTCTGCCCTCAAGGGGGCCCCAGTGTCTGTTGTTACCCTCCTGGTATACATGTGTCCTCATTGTTTAGTTTCCATTTATAAGTGAGAACATGCAGTATTTGGTTTTCTGTTCCTGTGTTACTTGGCTTAGGATCATGACTTCCAGCTCTATCCATGTTGTTGCCAAGGAAATGATCTCATTCTTTTATATGACTGCATAGTAATCAATAGTGTATATGTACCACATTTTCTTAATCTAGACTACTGTTGATAGACATTTAGGTTGATTTTATGTCTTAGTTATTGTGGAGAGTGCTGCAAATATACGTGTGCATGTGTCTTTATGACAGAATGATTTATATTTCTTTGGTTATACACCCAGTAATTAGATTGCTGCGTTGAAATGTAGTTTTGTTTTTAGCTCTTTGAAGAACTGCCACACTGCTTTCCACAATGGTTGAACTAATTTACACTTCCATCAACAAAATAAGCATTCCCCTTTCTCCACAACCACATCGACATCTGTTATTTTTTGAATTTTTAATAATAGTCATTCTGACTGGTGTGAGATGGTATCTCATTGTGGTTTTGATTCGTATTTCTCTAATGATTAGTCGTGCAGAGTATTTTTTCATATGCTTGTTGCCGTATGTCTTCTTTTGAAAACTGGCCATGTCCTTTGCCTACTTTTTGATGGGATGGTTTGGGTGTTTTTATGGTAAATTTGGCTAAGTTCCTTGTAGTTTCTGTATATTAAACCTTTGTTGGATGCATAGTCTGCAAATATTTTCTGCCACTGTGTAGGTTGTCTGTGTACACTGTTGATAGTTTCTTTTGCTGTGCAGAAGCTCTTTAATTTGTCAATTTTTGTTTTGTTGCAATTGCTTTGGTGTCTTCATCATGAAATCTTTGCCAGCTCCTATGTCCAGAATGGTATTTCCTAGGTTATCTCCCAGGATTTTTACAATTTTAGGTTTTACATTTAATTCTTCAATCCATCTTGCATTGATTGTTGTATGTGGTGTAAGGTAGGCGTCTAGTTTCAACCTTCTGCATATGGCTAGCCAATTACCCCAGCACCATTTATTGAATGGAGAGTCCTTTGCTTTTACAGGTTTTCACACTTATAATAAATATTCAAAGTACCCTATGAAAAGTCTATAAAAGGCTTAACCACAGCAGGCAAGCCATTTCTCTGGTTTCATCTTTAACATTCATTAGACACAATGCAAAAACTTTTGGATGATCCCCCCAAATGACATACTTAAAAACCTTATAACATGTAAGACAAAGGACATACCTAATTGTAATGGATTTGATTCAAAATGGTGCAAGACTTGTTAAAGAAGCATAATGAAAGAGAGATGAAACTATGTGCTGTTTTTCTAAGAGTACGGCAGTGTTTCTTCTTGTCGGAAGTGCGTAGAGCAGAAGAGAAATAGAAGGATGTTGAGGTCTCATGCGTGGAAAGAACAACTAATTATAGGAATAGCTCCTCATTTGCAAGGGATAGAAAAACACAGTTCTGAGAAACAGGTACAGAAGCCAGAAAGAGGGCTTCTCTGAGAGAGTTTTACAAAGTAATCAAGAAAATAATGATACAGTTATGAATAATTATTTTAGATTTCCTGCTCTCCATTTAAACTTAGACTGGTTTAGACCAGTTTGCTTTTTAAGGTTTCTTTTTCAGCTCTATTATTATCAAGGGAGTCAGAAGAGAATAAAGAACACAAGATGTGAGGTCAGATTAATCAGGCTGACATAGATTGCCTATATCAGAACTTTTGGGAGTCACTGCCTCATCTGTAAAATCAGGTTACTACTTTTGCTACTTATACCTCACAGGAATATTGTGAAAATTATATATGTATATATATATTTATAAATATATATTATATGTACCTATACTCTGTATATGTAAAACTATATATAAGTATATAAGCTTTGCATATGTAAGTATCCTTATAAGAAGAGAAGGTGACCAGAGCTTTCTCCACCACATGAAGGTACAATGAGAATATGGCTGTCTGAAAGCTAGGAAGAGGGCTTACAAGAATGGAATCTGCCACCTTGATTTCAGACTTCTAGCTTCCACAACTGTGAGAAAACACGTGTCTGTTGTTTAAGACATCTAGTCTATGTTATTTTATTATAGCAGCCCCAGCAGATGAAGACAACAACCTAGAATGTGTTTTCAGGTCTGCAAGGAAAATTGTAACCTCAAATATAATTTTCCGCCATATGGATTAGATTAGTTATATCAGGTAAATCACCTAGAAATGTTGTTTGACACATAATAAGAACTCAATAGATGTTACATTATTATTACTATTATTGTTATTACTACCATTATATTTACTTCACTCTCTGGAATTAGTCACAATAAACATAAGAACCTTAGGAATTTGGAGGATGGAAAGAAAGTTAAAAGAGATACACGAATAATGTTTTAACATATGTACAGATCTTACTGTTGGTTTACAAAGCACCTCCAAACACATTAATCAGACCAGAATTAAGACCAGCTTATAGGCATTCGAGATAGATTTTGGATCATTAAAAAATTCTTCTAACAATTAGAACAGTCCAAAATAGAATAGGTTTTATTGTGAATTCTGAATTTCTATGTCACTGAAGATATTCAGGGAGGGAGTAGGCACAGTTAAGGAGAGTGTATGAGACCAGCTGTTCTACGAAGTCTTATCCAATCCTGGATTCTGTTATCTGGAAATAAAAATTGCATAAGGACTGGAGGTTCATTCATAAAAGGAAATATGAGTTGTTTTTGATTACACATTTAAATTTAATAATAAAGTTTTAAAATGTGTTCTATTAATAGACTTTACAGAGGAATTATGACTTTCATAAACCATTTATTCAGGTGTTCCAAAAGTCATTATTTTTCTATAAATAAACTTCATTTCAACCTTGAATTTTGATTCCACCTAGTGGCTGAAACTTGCTATTAATCAATTCTGGGTAAGCTCAAGTTACTTCAAGGTTTTCTCATTTACTTTAGGGCTCAAATTCAGTCCAAAAAGAGCTTGTCCTCACCTCATCCTCTTTCCACAGTGTGGAATATACATTTCCAGCTGCTCAAATAGTATCATGGCATCTGCAAGGAGGCACCTGGTCATTAATGTCTGTCCATACTGGCATCTGCTGAAGCGTGGAAATACATTTCTCTTTAGCTAATGTTTCCCCTATGTTAGAACCTGTTGAGATGGCTTCAGTTACATCTGCCTCTTACTTGCCCAAACTACATTTCACCTAATCCCCCACCCTCTGCAGTATTTACCACTCAAAATCAAAATCACAACCCGTCAGGATTTCTCTCTCTTTCCCTCTCTCCCTCTCCCATCCCCTCTCTTCTACTTCATCATATTTGCGTAGTATGAGAAAATATAACTACCCCTATAACATGCTGGCCTGTGTGAGGTTCTCTCCATCCCTGATGAAGTGTTGATGCAGGGAACCTCTGGGAAGCTACTGTCTTCCTGGATTCTAAGTCTAAAGAAGGACGCATGCTCCCTCACTTTTCAGATGCTCTGTTCTCAGAGCCCTTCCAAGAAACCATAGTTGGAATCAGACTGTATTTTTTTTTTTTTTTTTGAGACAGAGTCTCACTCTGTCACCCAGGCTCGAGTGTAGTGGCATGACGTGATCACGGCTCACTGCAGCCTCGACTTCCCTGGCTCAGATGATTCTTTCGCCTCAGCCTCCCAAGTAGCTGGGACTACAGGCATGCACCACCAATTCGGACTAATTTTTTTATTTTTATTTTTTGTAGACAGGGGTTTTCACCATGTTGCCCAGGCTGGCCTCTAAATCTTGAGCTCAAGCGACTCTCATTCCTCTGCCTTTCAAAGTGCTGAGATTATAGGCATGAGCCACTGGGCAAAGCCAAGATTATTATTTGTAGCATAATTTTGGCTACTGATGCCCAGGGTACTTTTTAATAACAGATTTACCGAGAAAGAATTCACACACATTACATCTGTTTCGCTTTAAAATGTACAGTCTATTTGTTTCATTTGTTTTTAGTAGTCACAAAATTGTGCAATCATCACCGCTAATTAATTTCAGAACATTTTTCTTACCCCAAAAATAAACTCCATGCTCATTAACAGTCAGTTCCCATTACTCTCTCCCCCAAGTTCTTGGCAACTACTAATCTACTTTCTGTTTCTGTGAATTTGCCTTTCCTGGACACTTCATATAAATTGAATGATAAAATAAATGGCCTTTTCTGACTGGCTTCTTTCATGTAATATGATGCTTTCAAGTTTCATCCATGTTGTAGCATGATATAAGTACCTCATTCTTTTTGTGGCTGAAACGAATATGCAAAATTTTGTTTACCCATTTATCAGTTGATGAGCATTTAGATTTTTAACAGTTTTTGGTTATTATAAATAATATAGTTATGAACATGTGTGTAAAAGTTTTTGTGTGGGTATACATTTTCATTTATCTTGGTTTTATATATAAAAGTGAAAATGCTGGGTTCTGTGGTAGCTGCTATGTTTAACTTTTTGAGGAAATGCCAAATTGGTTTTCTCAGAATTCTACCATATAACATTCCAATCAGCAATGTTTGAGCATTCTAATTTTTTTACTTTGTCATCATTTGTTGTTGTCCATTTTTTAATCATAGCCATTCAAGTGGGTCTGAAGTAATATCTCGTGGGGTTTTGATTTGCATTTCCCTGGTAACTAATGATGTGAAGCATTTTTTCATGTGTTTATTAGCCTTCTGTGTATCTTTTCTGGAAAAATATCTAAAAATATTTTGCTCATTTTTAAGTTGAATGTTTTGCCTTTTTGTGGTTGAGTAGTAATAGTTCTTTGCATATTCTGGATGCTATACCTTTATCAGTTATATAATTTCTAAGTATTTTCTCCCATTCTATGGATTGTATTTTCACGGTCTTGATCATGTCCTTTTACACACAAAATTATTTAATTTTGAAGTTCAATGTATATTTTTTTCCTTTGGTTACTTCTGCTTTGTCATATCTAACAAGGCTTTGCCTAATCCAATGTCACATAGTTTGCACTAAGTTTTCTTCTAAGCGTTTTAGCATTTTAGTGCCTATATTTAGGTCTATGATTCATTTTGAGAAAACTTTTGTTTATGGTGTGAAGTAGGAGTCCAACTTCCTTGTTTTGCCTGAGAATATCTAGTTGTTAGGGCACTATTTGCTGAAAAGAGTATTCTTTCCCCACTAAATTGTCCTGGCACCCTTGTCAAAAATCAATGTACCATTAATATGAAGGCTTTATTCTTATATTCTTAATTCCATTTCATTGATCTATATGTTTCTCTTTATTCCTGTACTATACAGTCTTAATTGATTTAATTTAGTAGCAACCCTTCTAAATCACAAATATAAGTCCTTCAACTTTTACTTCTTTTCCAAGATTGTTTTGACTATTCTTTTTTTCTGTGTTAATTAATAAAGTTTTATTAGAACACAGCCATGTCTATTTCTTTACATATTGTCTATGACTGCCTTCATGCTACAGTGACAGAGTGGGGTAGTTGAAATGCAGACCACGTAACTTGCAAAACTAAAGATACTTACTCTCTAGTTCATTACAAACATAATTTGCTGGTTCCTGTTCTACAAATATATTTCTTCCAATGCTATAGATTATATAGTTTTTAAGTGTTACAAATTTATTATCTTACAGTTCTGTAAGTTAGAGATCTGACACAAGTCTCACTGGGCCAAAATCAAGGTGTTAGCTGGACTGTGTTCCTTCTGGAGGCTTTGAGAGATAATTTATTTTTTGCCTTTTTAAGCTTCTAGAACTGCCACATTCCTTGCCTCATGGCTCCATCCTCCATTCTA